CTGCACATTCTGAATCTTCAAATCTTCCTCATTTCATTGGGATTGTGAGAATTAAAAGACTTGGGACGCGTCTGGAATAGTCTTCGGCCCAAACCGGCCTTCTGGAGCGTTTGCTCATGTGTTGCTTAAGGACCCTGAACCTAGTTCGTGTGTGGATGGGTGAGTATAGGATAATTGGGATTTTAGTTAAGCCTGTCGAGATTAGAGCATGTGCAGACTCGAGGTGGTGTGTTGGTGTAATGTAGTTGTGAACTTGTCGGTGTAGAACTCACTATCTGTCATCTTTCGGAGAGGACGGTCTACGCAGAAGTGGTGGCTTGGGGGACATGACAAGGAGGGGAGGGTTGAGTTGACAGGGCCTGCAGCGAGCGCGTTGGCGCAGCTTCCCAGGAAGCAGATGTCCAACGAGCTCGCCGTGGGAAGGTGTGCAGAAGAGGTCTGACTGTCAGCCTAGTTGAACGGGCTTGGGGTGTGCGATGGCATATTAGTTTAGAGAAATGGAGGATGGTTGGTTAGTGCAAGCGTGTGATGCTCCGCTGCCAGAGGGCGCTTCTTCTTGAAGCTGGATAGCGTGCAGGGTGCCGGTAGAGCAGTCAGAGCTGTGGTTAGGTGCGTGGAGGGCCAGGGTTCAAGTGCCGCTGTGTCAGGCGAGTAGTTTGTTGCAGTAATTCATGGTTGTGAAGTGTGTCTTGTGTTGTTGCACTGGTGCACTTGACGGTGTGACATACAGTTCGTCGGTTGACGTGCATGTTAGGTGAGTTGAGGCGGCATGGAGTTTGCGGTGTATTGTTACCTCAGAGAGTCTGCGAGGGCTAATTTCGCACGTAGACACAGTATTTGCCGCTCGTTAATAGATAATTGACCAGTTATCGCAGAACACACATAATATAGAATTAGCAATCTATCTTCCGCATCACACTTTGCATTGTGACATGATCATGAAAATAATATAAAAGAATATGCAAGAGAATCTGGATAAGACACATATCAGCATACCAAAAACCGGCCCTTACTGGACCGTCTTGCTCATGAAATCCTGCTTAAGGCAACCCTGAACCTAGATTCGTAAGGTGGATTAGTATGATAGATATTAGGACTACTTGATAAGTTAAGCTGTCAAGTCAAATAGACAGAGCCTCAGCACACTCCGAGAAACTGGTTTTGTGCTGATAATAGCTAGTTCTGTGAACTGTCTGTAGAATCACTATCCCCAATCATACTACATCTGCACTCTATCTATCCCCAAACGGACGTCTACCAGAGTGGGCTTGGGGACATGAGGCAAGTCGGTCTTTGACGCTTGGACAGCGACTACCAGAACTATGCACAAAATCTCTACCCAAGAGAACCCACTAATGTCCAAATAACTGGACTCACCTGGACGGGACCTTAAGAGAATAAGTCTATCAACTACCACTTAACACTCAGTTGAAATAAATCATTTTTCATGGCATATTAGTTTAGAAAATGGAGATTTGTAAGATCAATGCGTCTTCAAGTCCAATCTTAACAGTCCTCAGAGACGAGCCTCTTTAACATATATAAAACGAAGACCCTGTGATAAAAGCATAACAGTCGGAAAACCTACATAGAGCAACACTGCAGACATATAAATTAATCTGAGGGTCAAGGCAATAGTCCCTCATTAACATAATACAAGAAAAAAAGCAGACCATCGATAGAATAATTTGCGATTACCATACATAAGAATAGGTACATAGACTGAGTGTCTTGTGGACCCACTTGCACAGAACTTACATACATGTAATCACATATAGGTGACTCTGCATGTAAGTCATTATCCTGACTGGCCAGATTATGTTGTTTACCTCAGAAACAAAAAAAGACAAACCTATACATCATAAAACATACAACCACCAAATTCACAAAAACACAACACATAACACAGCTCACTCGACCTACACACACATCCCAAACACAAACCTCACACCTAATCAACACCAGTCAAAATTAACGAATAACTAAAAACTAACAAACAAAACACATCTCACCCACACATCTCACA